ACAAATCCACAACCAACATCACTAATATAATAATTGAAACAATTATCACAAACATATATAAAGATATTTGGAAACCTAGGTGTGAGTTAGTGATTCAAGAAGAAATTAAGGAAAACATCACCAATCAAATGAAAGTAAAGAAAGAGAATAATATAGTAAAGAGGAAAAAAAAGAAAGAAAAAATTAAAAAGAAGAGAAAAGATCTTGATCACACTAACTCCAATAATGAAACATCTCCCTCAACTTTGAGTTGGATAAGTTGGGTAGATTCTTGGATTAAAAAAGGAAGCCAATGGGAAATATATGTATCTTGACAGGATGTTTTACATAGTCAAAGAAATGGGGTGCAGTAGCTTAATTCTCTAAGTAAAAAAGGAGGCCTCATGAGACTTTGTACGATGTTAAGTTGCTCCAAACAAATACCATTCTATGGTAAAACGGGGGGAGTTGTGCATTGTAAATAATTTAAATTTTTTTATATACAGCATAGTGGAAATCAGGGCTGGAAATAGTACTTTAAAAATCCGGATTTTCCTTTTAAAAATTTTCACTTCCAGAAAAAAAAAGAGTTGTCAGATATTTTTCCTTTTTTTTTTTTTTTGTAGATTTTCCATATGCATAAAAAAAATTACCAAAATTTAATATATATTAATATATATATGTCATTACTTCAATATTTTAGAAAAGAACAGCCAGAATCACAATTTTTATTATCTTTTGAATTTTCAGAAGAAAAGTATTGACTCAATTAATATCTATTTCAAAATATATATTTACATCTTTTATTTTCCCTTATTCAAAAAATAAATTATAAATAAATAATTAGTATAGAACAAGAAAAATTAGATAATTTGACTATATACTGAAATTTGGGATAAAACATTTACAGATGAAACAAATATTGTTGAATCAGATATAGAAGATTTAGATGATTTGATAATTCAAGAAGATTTCAAGGCAACACACTGTTGTAGAAGAAACAATTTAAATAATAAAATTATGTCTTTAAGATTAAAAAATTCTTCGAAAAGAAGAAAAGCAACAAGACCTGGGTAAGTGTTTATCATAATGATGGTGGTGGTAGTGGTTGTGGTTATCACCACTCGTCGTCACTCTAGCTAACCAAATAAAAATTGTCAATTATTTTAAACAATCACCAGACTCAAAATTTTCAAAACAACAAAAAATTGTATATGATTTAGTGATCAATAAACGCGAAAACATATTTTTTACTGGTTCTAGCAGGAACAGAAAAAGCTTTCTACTATTAAAAATCATCATACCTCTTAAAAACATTTACAGAGTTGAAAAAGTTGTCATAACTGCCACAACTGGTATAGCAGCAGTCAACATTACTAGCACAACTTTACACTCTTTTGCAGGCATAGGATTAGGCACCGAATCAGCAAATGAGCTTATTGAAAAAATCAAAAAATCAAAAATCCATCATTTCCAATGACAATCTATTGAAGCATTGGTTATTGATGAAGATATAATTGATTTTTTTTAGAAAGTAATAATCATCATTATTTGATTGTTTAATTATTTTATAAAATATATATATATATAAATAAAAACAAAGTATATAAGCATGTACGTACCTTCGTCAGTATTGTCAACAACACCAGGTTCAGTCAAATCAAGATGAATTTGTTCTTCGCTAACTTTTGGATCATAAATATGAACTTTAGCTTTTTCTTGAATAAAAGCTTTACATAAAGTGATTGCGGCAGATTCTCTGGTATCACCGGTATCTTTTTTAAATGCAAAACCAAGCAATGCAATTTTTTTGTAGGTGATGGTGTTGAACAACGTTTTGATAATACGTGAAATAAAACGGTTTTTCTGATATTCATTTAGATCTACAACACTTTTCCAATAGGCTCCAACTTCAGGAAGGTTAAGTTGTTGAGAAAGATAAACCAGATTCAATATATCCTTCTGGAAACAGCTTCCACCAAATCCAACTGACGCCTTTAAAAATTTTGGTCCAATACGTGCATCTTTTCCACAAGCATACGCCACCTCATCAATATCAGCACCTGTTGCTTCACAAATTGCAGACAATGCATTGATTGATGATATACGTTGAGCTAACAAAGCATTTGCTGCCTATACACATATTTATATAAAGTAAATTTTTTCAAGATTAATAATAATTATTATTTATTAATAATTGTAAATATTTTTTTTTTTTATAAATACTTGCCAATTTTGAAAGTTCAGATGACCATAAGTTAGTAGTAATGATGCGTTCAGTAGGAACCCAATGAGCATATACTTCTACTAAAGCCTTTTGAGCTTTCATTCCTTCAGGCGTTTGTAAGCCACCAATTAAAACACGATCAGGATTTAATAAATCATTAACTGCAGTACCTTCAGCAAGAAATTCAGGATTTGATAGTATGTCAAAGTGAATACCGTCCCTGGAGTTTGCTTCTAAAATTGTTCTCATACTCTCTGCTGTACGACATGGCACAGTTGATTTTTCAACTACAATTTTTGAACTTCTTGCCACATCTGCAATCTGTCTTGTAGCTGATTCAACATAACTTCAAATTACATAACAATAATTTATTAATTAAAAAAATTAAAGCAATGAGTTTAATTGGTTGAACCAGAATCAAATAAATTGTTAAATAATCAATCACATGAATTAATCATTGATTAAATTAAAACTTACGCAAGGTCAGCAGCATAACCAGCGCCCATACCACTTTTTTTTGTCGGAGTATTTACTGAAACAAAAATCAAATCCGCTTCTATGACAGCTTTTTCCACATCAGTTGTAAAAAATAAATTTTTATTACGGCATGCAAATACAATGTCATCAAGACCTGGTTCATAAATTGGTAAATTATCAGAGTTCCAAGCTGCTATACGAGCAGGATTCAAATCAACAATAGTCACTTGGATATCTGGACATTTGTATGCGATGACTGCACAGGTAGGTCCACCTAAATAATTCATTTAATTGATTATATATAAAAAAAAATATATTTATAATTTTGTGAAAATGCATATTTATTAGATCAAAATTAAAAAATTTTTCTATAATGTTGAATGGTAGTTTTGACTTTTTTTTTTTTTTTTTGAGATTTTAAATGAAAAATTTTTTCTCTCATTCCATGCTCTTTTACAAATCTTCCATCAGAATATTATGTAATTCGCATCTCATTAATAAATTAACATATAAAAGATATATACCAACATAACCGGCACCAAGACAACAAATTTTTCTTACTGATGACATTTTATTAATTAATTTGTATATTTATAATTAGAATTTTTTTTTAATATATTAAAAATAAAAACTATTTTTTTTTTTATTTTTATTTTGATAAACGAACGAGTCGATCCAAAACATTGCAATACATCACAGGCTGGTAAATATTACACCAAATAAATTCGAAAGCACTTTTATTATTATTATATATATAATAATAATAATAATAATAATAATAGTAATAGTAATGGTTTTGCATTCGGTAATTGATTAAATAATCTTTAAAGGAATTTTTTGAAAAACAAATATAGTTCGAAATTCATCATGTGTGTAAACCTTTATTAAAATGGCACCGTATCACATTTTAATAGATTCGGAAAATAACCGTAGAATTTTTTGTTTTTTTGGAAAGTTTCTTTGAATTTCACAACACATCTTTAAATTAATAATGTTACCCAGTCCCAAAAGTTGGAACCAAAGAGCAAGAAGGCCGGTTCAAACCTATATAAAACCCTATCTTTAGTAGCCACGTGATAGTAACAAAATCCATTCAAGAACAATTGATTTTTTAAAATTCTTTCATCAAATTCGTCAGGCCATTGAACTTTTAAATTTCATCAAAAACTTTAGTTCTGATGTCGCCACCATTAGTATTTATAATAATGGATTTGCATTGTCAGATGGTAAACTTTAATAAAATTTGTTCTTTGGAGTTCCAAATAATAAAGCTGTCACTAACACTGATGAAATCTATTTGATTTCCTTATCCTAATTAATAAATATCAGTGATAATGTAATTAAATTATCTCCTTTAACCAATCCATCGCACGTATTACCGGAAGACAGATTAGAAGAACAGTGGAAGAATTGGAAGAAGAGGTTGAAGTTATATTATTGACTAAAAGTGTCAACACTTTTGAATTTTGTAATCAATTCTACATATTTTGAATGAAAAAAACCAAATTGCTGCACCGCAATCATCAATTACTCTCCATTATTCAAGGAGGATAATAATAAATTTTCTATACCGGAATTAAAACCTAAACCTCCAGCTAAACCAATTTTGACATTAAATGTTCTTTTGAAAATTTCTGTTTAACCGTTTTTTTTTTTTTCAAAAAATAAAAGTCAACATCGCTTGTACATTGAATTTTATTATTAGTAAATAAATATCTTAATATAGTCCTTATTAATAGTAGTTGATTGGCATTAAAAACAATAAACAAGATTACAAATTAATAATAATAACTGTATATTTTATGGTTGATAATAAATTAATTAATATTAATGAAATAAGTAATAAGTTATTATAAAATAATCATTTATAAAAACACATTGAAACAACCGATAATACTGGCAATAGTAATGATCAAAAGTCCAAAATTTGAATTGTCGAATAAAGATTCTGAATTTGATTTAGGTGCATTCGTTGACGGTGATGATGGTGATGTAGTAGCGGCGGTATCAGAGTTAGTAGTGGCGACTGCGGATGTTGTAGGTACAGGTGGTACGTATGTAGTAGCTAAGAAAAAGAATTCGTGATTTATTATTAAAAAAAAAAATAATCATAAAATAAAACGACACTATTCAAAAAATTTTGCTTACGAGTTGTTCCAGGTGCTTTGATTTCAAATTGTTCAGAAGTTGTATATATATCTGCAATATTTGCAACATTTGTAAATCTAATCACAAACCCTAAGTCGAAAGAAAAAGAGAAAACAAAAGTTTCATTGAATTAATCAGTAAATAAATCAATATCCCACATGCCTGCCTTCCTCCTCCGTCTTTCAAAAATAATTACCAGTATTAACTAGACTAGGCGGAATTTGAACAGTAGTTACACCAAGTGTTGTATTAACTGTGTTGGCAATGGCAAAATCTGACAAGTCTGGAATTTTCTATTATTTTTTTTTAAAAGAAATTCATTGATCGATATAATTGATCAATATAATTGATTTGATTGATTGATTGATCGATTGATTGATTGATAAAATAAACTTTTTTAAAACTTACGGGGTTATTTAAATACATAGAAAATGCTTTTGGATCAGTAGTTGGATCAAATGTCCATTGTACTTTGTTATCTGCTCCAGCTACAAGATAATAATTTGGTGATGGATAAACTATCTTTAGTTCAGCTACAAAATATATATATATATTTATATTAGCGTCAAGTATAAACATATGTGAATGTGTATGTGTGAGGAGAAAGGTTCCCAAAAATAATACCTGAAGAAAAACTTATAAAAAGTAACGAAAAAATGAAATTAATTATTGGGAATTTCATTTTTATCATTTCTTTATTTTTTATTTTTATTAAATTAAATTTATATTTATATACTTTTTTAAAAACAAAGAGGACGATCTTTTTTACTAATATTGTTTACATAATAAATGAATAAAATAACCCATTAATATAATTGTAACACTCACTATTTATAAATAAGTCTTCTCAAATTAAATTTAATTAAATTTAATTACTATTACTTGTGGGAGAGTGCAACATAATTTTAGTTGTAACCAATTTGTGGCATAATAGAGGTTGCACAAACTGTTTAGGGTTGATCTAAAAAAAAATTTTATCTGTGTACATAATTGGTCAAGTAAAATTTATAATATGTCGTCGGAAGTTAAATCTGTTGCTGCAAAAGGCACACTTGCAAAAGCCAAAGTAACAGCTGCTCTAGATATTGAGGGCAACGTCCCATTAGAGTCTGTTCAACTTGATGGACTAGTCGTTCTCAAGATCATTAAACTCTGCCGTTTAATTTCCAACTACAAAAGTGTTTTATTGAACAAAAAAAAAGAATTGATTTGTTTTATTATTACAAAACGAATTGGGTCAAAAAATGACATTATTTTTATGATAATCATCATAAAACTTTGGTCATAGGTTTGACAATTTAACCACAGTTTATGAGTTTGCCCATAGTTTAAGTTTCGTCAGTAGTTTAAGAGCCTAAATTCCTAATTTCTATGGATAAACTATTTCAGATTTGTTAAAATAATTTCAGCCACCATCACTATACAAAACACAACCATGATGTGTGTATGAATTAATTCAAACTTTAACCACATATAAAACTCTTTATTTATTGCATGAAAACTTTTTAATTTATTAATTTTTAATGTTAACATCAATGCTTCATAGCTAAAAAGGTTTTGTTAGCTAATAAATTGTCATGAATCATATTTGCACCATGGATTGAGACTACATCACGAATTGCATCTTGTGTCAATTGTATAAAATTATGATGCAAATTTTTAGGATTTTTAATTGCAATTTAATGATTTTGATCTCAAGTATAATTGGTACAGTCCAAAAAGTTTTCGTGTCAAAATTTTTAAATCCGACCTAAAAACTTTCAGGTTAGCCCGACCCGTTTCGGAGCTTTACTCTCAATAAATAAAATTCAAATTTCACCTTCATTTCCGCTAGTGTTCTATTTGTAAATTTGTAATGCAAATTCTTATTCGAATTATTCATTTTATTTTGAATTATTCATTTTATTTTCGAATTAATTATTCTTTGTTTTATTTCAAATTATTTGTTTTTATTTTATTCAAATAGAGACCCTAGTTCTGGTCAAGTGCAAGGTTTTCTTTCCAGCTTCATATGTTCTAAAAAAAAATAGAAATATACTGCTTGAGGCGTCATTACAATCAATATAGTAAAATCAAAAGGGTTACTAACTAATAGTTAAAAGGTTAGCCAAACCATTAATTATCAGAAAGGATTATGAAATCAATAACACCGGCTCTATTAATTAATTACAGTTTTTATTAAAAAATTGAAGGAAATTTTCAAGTGTATTTATACTTCTTGAAGTATTACAAACAACATGACTTTTTACATGATTTTGTCCAATAAATATAATAAATAGAATGATTAATAGTGAATGACTAATATTAATTACTAATGTTAAATGCCAAAATGCATCATTGATGATGCTATGGTATAAAATAAATTGATTGACAACAATCAAATGTATAGTGAGATCTAGCAAGGGGATACATTGTAAATGTACATCCAAAAACTGCACCTCTATGCCAAGTGTGGCCCCAGAAAAATACACAATAAAAGCAGGATTAAGTCCGGATCGTATGTCTGGATTTGCTCTGTGAACCAACAAACTTCGTATATAATGCACATGCTTGGATGTATACACATCCAGACCCATCTCCAAGTTCTTTCTGCACTTTTCACAGGAATATTTCCGTACATTTTTTCTGTTTCCGTAAAAAATACGGTTAATGTACTGTTTTTTCCTTTCCGGTATCTAGGGATGAAGAGTTCGGTTGGTTTGGTTTCGTGGAACTGATTCGAACAGTTTGAACAGTTTTTTGAACAACATTACACGAACCTTTATTAAAATACCAAGAAAGATAATGAATTTCAATTTCAAATGATAGAATCCTCCCTTTTGGAAATACGTCCATACCAAAAACCAGTTTTCATCAACACAAAATCCATTTCAGCATGTATCCGATCATGAAAAAAATTTTTTATGTCACAATTTGAACATGTGTAACCGGTTTGAACGGTTCCAAAAAACCAAACCGAGTTCAAACCGTTAGTTAATGAAACCGCCCCATCCCTACCGGTATCTAATATTTTATACACTTTATCAGATTTTCAATTCTGCTAATTTTAAATTGCCCATAATTCGCATAATTTAGTATTCTGCTTGGTGTGCCCACCAAATATCTGATACATTGTAAAAGCTTTTTGTCATGGATTCAAATTCAATTGAAATATAACAAAAGCAATATCACAAGTATATAGTTTTCAAGCTGGTTTGTTTGTTGATTCTTTGGTTGATTGTCATTATTGTCACTTTTTGGGATAATGTGGAAGATGATGATATGGTTTCAGTTATCGGTAATTTTATTAATTTCGGCCTAACAAAAAAAATCTAAATCTAAATTATTAACTCATAAATGAAGAAAAAAAATTTTTTTGAACCCCTTTTTCTCTGACCAAAACATCTTTTCTGTTACATATCGGTTTAAAGTCCGCAGCTTGTATTGGGGATAAAGATTCAATTCCGCGATTCTTTAATTTTTTCTGGAATGTCATATCATCTACCACTACCACTATTACCATTAGTATTTATTTTATTATTATTAGTTGTTGACAAAGATGGGAGATCAGATTCAGGTTGTTGCTAGTGTTGAGGTATTTTTTTGTTAATAAAAATATAAAAACAATTAACTTTAAAAAAATTTTCATTTTTTCAATACCAATTTTTTCAGAGAAATTTTATCCAAAACCGATTCCTGGTAAAATGCAACTCTTCTCAATTCCCTCGTCAGTCCACGCCTATACTCTTGTTGATTTGTAATGATGGAAGTATCATTTTGGGTTTCCTCTTTTGAAGATGTTTTGGAAACTATATAGGTAACAGTGAAATAAATTATATATTATAGATATAATTTTCATAAATGAAGTTTCTTCAATAGTAGACATTTCTTTTTGTGTTCTTTAATTTTTGAACAAAGGGATGTAAAGTTAAAGTTAATAAGTTGAAGGCTCATCACCAATTCATAATTGGCTATTAAACAAAAAGTCAGATAACACCAAATTCTGATGACGATTATTTTCTTATCATCATTGAAGAGCTGTTGAAAAACATATACAACATTGTATGCTTATGAAATAATTTTTATCATTTATTAACTCTTTAACTTCATTGCAGCGTTTTTCTTTCCATCAACTTTTTATTTCTAAAGGAGAAAATAGATGAAATTTATAGAAAGATTTTCGAATCATTTTGGTAAGAAAAAAAAACAATAATCAAGAGGAAGGAGGTAGCAGCCACCATCGTATTTCGGAAGAAATATAAAATCTCTCTTTGTGTCAACCAACTTAAAATCGGGAATTAGCGGTGGTATCGGTAATTGTGTCAAACATATTGACGATCATTTTACCTGACCAATAAACCTACTAGTAATCAGCCTAACAATTCTCCAGAAAACAAACAGTCATTCGAGTACGTTTAGCAAATAAAGTAATCATTGCCAACGACGACGACGACGACGACGATGATGATGTAAATAAAATTTTTATGCTTATATACCTTTTTTAATGTTAAAAATATTCCATTTAGCCTCGTAAAAATTGATTAATAAAAAGAAATATATATATATATACGACTTTTTTTAGAAGCATATAGGGCGAACGTTAAAGATATGTACGTATATATAAGAGAAATTTTATTTATAAAATTTGTGTAACGACTAAAATATTAATTAATATAATGTTGATATGGGTGTGGATTTGACCTATTAATATGTACAATAACTCATGTAAAGATATATCTGATATACAACTACGAATTTAAAATGGGAATCTAAAAATGTTCTAGAAATATTCTTGATAATAACTTCCAAATAACTTTTATTTTAAAGTCTTTAAACGCCAGTTTTAACAAAGATTTCCCAATCAATTATCACACGTGATGTAATGCCAGAAAAAAAAAATTGTATTAATTTATAAATTTTTATTTTTGTAATTCTTTTGCAACGAATAATTTACTAAGAGTTGGACCAGCATGTTGATTTAATTGTTTGCAATAATTATTAATTTGTGATGATATTAATAAAGAGTCAAGCCTTGATGGTTCTGGTGGTATTTTATACATTTTCAAAATATCATCTTCTGGTAAAGGATCCAATCCTGATTCCTTACGTGCTTCATTATCTTGTTTCTGGTAATAATAATAATAATAATAATAATAATAAAATTAATACATGAATACATACATACATACATACATACATATTTTACCAGCTAAAACTTACTCGTTTTTGTAAAGCAGATTGTGCTTTTGTAACACTTTTTTGCCAAAAAGCAAGATTATTTTGTTCATAATTATTATCTTCAATTGATTTCAACAAGAATTCCAAATTTTTTTCCATGTAAGGATCAAGACTTAATTCCAGTGTTTCAAAATTAGGTGTTAAAGGACCAATAACAGATTCTTTGTCTATACTGATGGGATAAGTTTTTGGTATAACATTTTCAAAATCATCCAAAGAATGTAAAAGTGCAGTGACCAAATGTGAATTCTTGATTATGATTGGCAATTCTTCAAAAATCTTTGAAAATGTTAATTTATTTTTTTACAAATAGAGTTCAAGAAGTACCTGCTTTTTACCATACATATGAAATGCAAAAAGGAAAAATAATTGGAATAATTCAATACAACCCTCAACTTGTAAAATTCCTATCATCTAATTCTGTAGTTGAAACTTTAACGCCTCGTTTGTTACCTATGCTGGTTCATCCTATGCCATGGTTAAATTATAATAGTGGCGGTTATTTAATGTCACCAAGTAAGAATAGAATTACAATCACTTATTCAATTATCTTTGTAAACTATATATGTATATGTTGGTTATTTAATAATAAGTTTTCGGATTTCTTTTCACGCTCACTATTTTTTTTTTAATTGTAAAACTTTAGCTATTGCAATGCGAATTAAAGAATGTCCAGAACAATTAGCCTATTTAAAAAAGGCTTCAGATGAAGATTATCTTGGTCGTGTATTTGCAGGATTAGATGTACTTGGTTCAACCAAATGGGCTATTAATAAAAAAGTATATGAAGTAGTTTTAGAAGTTTGGAATAGTGGAAAAGCTATTGCTGATATTCCTCCGTCCAATTTAGATTTAACAACTCCAGAAAAGCCAGAAGATTTTCTTATAAATATAGCCACAAGAAAAAAATGGTATCGTGAATGTGAAGAAATCCAAAACAAGATTCGTAACAATCACTCTAAACGATGTGCCACCAATTATAAAATTGATATTGCCACTGCAGTAAGTTATTTATTAATTTTATTTGATTTGATCTTATTAAAAAGATATAATCTAAATTAACGCAGTGTGCATATTTATTTATTCATTCATTTATTTAACTATTTATTTATTTTATAGTTTTTGGATAGGCCAATGTATTTTCCACATAGCTTAGATTTTCGAGGTCGTGCATATCCAATACCAACACATTTAAATCATTTAGGTGATGATTTATGTCGTGGTTTATTGCTATTTGATGAAGCTAAACCGATAGGTAAATCTGGTCTTAAATGGTTAAAGATTCAGATAGCCAATTTAGCTGGACATGATAAAGCTTCATTTGATGAACGATTAAAGTTCACGGAAGATAAACTAGAACTCATAATGGATTCAGCAGACAAACCCCTTACGGGGAAATGTTGGTGGCAAACAACAGAAGATCCTTGGCAGTGTCTATCAGCATGTATGGAATTAACGAATGCACTTCGATCTAAAGATCCAGAAACTTATGTTTCAAGAATTCCCATTCATCAGGATGGGACATGTAATGGATTACAACATTATGCGGCTTTGGGTGGTGATTTAGAAGGTGCTAAACAAGTAAACTTGGATCCGTCTGATAAACCATGTGATATTTACACAGGAATTGCAGAAAAGGTTCAAAAGTTGATAAAGAAAGATATAGAAAATGGTAACAAAAATGCTACAATTTTAGATGGCAAGATAACACGTAAAGTTGTGAAACAAACTGTAATGACAAGTGTTTACGGTGTGACGTTTGTTGGAGCTCGATTACAAATAGAAAATCAGCTCAAGGAAATCAAAGAACTTTCCCGCCTTCCTACCACAGAAATACGTGAATTATCAAAGTATGTCACTCATCACGTATTTAGTTGTTTAGGAGAAATGTTTCATAAAGCTAGATTAATTCAAAATTGGCTGAATGAAAGTGCCAAAAGAATATCTAAAAGTGTTCCACCAAATGTGGTGTTAAATACAGATGAAGAAACCAAACAAGAGATAAAGGAAGATCACAGATCAAAAATAAAAGTTGATGATTATAATAATAACAATGATGTTATTGATGATGACGATTATGATGGCTATATTAGTAGTAATGATAATAATAATAATGATAATGATAAACCAAAGGGAAGTATTGTCAAATTATCACCCAGTAAGCCCGGAAAAGATCAAATGACAGCAGTTGTATGGACTACACCATTAGATTTGCCCATTGTACAACCATATAGAAAATTAGGAAGTAAAACAATTAAAACAAATCTTCAAAATATTAGTATTGAAGATCCTGATGTTGCTAGTCCAGTAAACAGTCTTAAACAACGTGCGGCATTTCCACCAAATTTCATCCATTCACTTGATGCAACACATATGTTAATGACATCGTTAGAATGTAAAGAACAACAACTGACATTTGCATCAGTACATGACAGTTATTGGACTCATGCTTGTGATGTCGAAAGGATGAATTTAATAATTCGTGATCAATTTATCAAGCTTCACGAACAACCTATTATGGAAAACCTTCGCAAAGAATTTATGGAAAGATATAAAGGCTATAAGGTGCCTGTTAAATTGCCTACAGATAAATATTATGAACTACTTCGTAAAAAAGTAGGAGAAATCCCTTCACCAGCTGATGATGGATACGAAACTATTTTAAATTTAGAAGATATCTTGGACATTACTGATAATTTTCAATTCGGAGAACCTACCGGACTGCTCAAAGAATTTGACAATAAAGAATTGGCTGAATTATCATCAGAAAATATTAAGGATGCATTTGCAGAAATATCTTATGACTTGGAAAACGATATCGACGATCCATCAAAGCATTTGGAAAGTGAAGAAACATCAGAGATTATAAATGACAAAAAACCAAAATCAAAATATGTTTATAAATGGTTTGATATAGCATTTCCATCCTTACCTGAAAAAGGAAATTTCGATGTTATTAAAGTGAAAGAAAGTAAATATTTCTTTGATTAACAGCTAAACTTTCGGTTCTCTATTTAATTATATATATATATATATATATAAATTTAAAATAGATTCAATTCTTAATTTTTTTTATTTGTAAATTTTAATGTAAATTAAATTAATTTTTCTTTTTTTTTTTTGAGTTTTATGAAAAATTTTAAAAAAATTTATGTCCAAACATCATAAATCATCCTGTTTGTTAAATTGAGTACTTAAGTATTTATTTTGTGGCTTTCCCATACCTCTTTCTTTTGAAAGCTATCAAAAAAGACATTGAAGAAGATATGTTCACGCCTGAAATAATAAAAAGAAATTAATAATCATTATTATTTCTAAAACGTAGTCGGTATAATATGGAAATACCGAATGCTTATTAAAACAATATTTGACAGCTTTACAATCTATTCTCGAGATAATTTTTAAAAATTATTGGTTTTGAACTTTACTGCAGAGATGCAGAGGATCTTAACACTTTTAACACAAGACTTGATGAAATCGAACAAGTTCTTGGACGCTATCACAATAATTTTGGTAGAATCGCCACCGAATTTGAATCAATTAACGGATCTATCACAACAATGCAAAATGAAATTGATCAACGTTCTGCAATTATTCAAAGAATTGAATCTGATTGACCAAGTGAAGCGAATCAATCCGAATCCTCTTCATACCTCCGGTTCTTCTGGCGAGATAATAAAGCCAAAGTCATTCATTGATTATAATTAGTGGGGTTGTAACCCCAAGATATAAATTCGACCGACTTGATTTTTTTGATTACAGGCTCAGCCCGATTATCATTTACAGACACCACTTTAACCATCCGAATTCGCTTTAAACAAATCTTCGATAGGATTAGGACCGAAAGAAGCTATACTTTTGATGAGATGTACTATTCTGTAGCAATGCGTATTCGTGAAATTTGGAGGGAATATTAGGCGGGAAACGGTGAAAAGCTTTTATAATAGAGATGATGATTGTAGGAGCAGTACAGTAGATCAAATTGGCGCATGGATACATAGTATGAAATTGTGAGATGGGACTCTCATTTTATGGGTTAGGGCTTGAGAGATTCCTCCTTTAAACATGATCTGCTCCATTCATTCTATTACATTTGCTTTTTTAGTTTATCATAATCAACGAAAAAAAAATTAATAAAGATTCTTGCCCAAAATTCATAATGTCAACACGAAACATGTCAAACTCGTTTTTTATTTTAGCATTTGACACAAGCACAATATGAAAAACTAATTTGATTCTCGTTTTCCTTCCTGTCCTTCAGAGCAATACGAGTGAAAAAAATGTATTTATCACCCATCGTTTTCATTTGGTCCATCCATTAAACCACACGATGAGAAAACGTTGATATTTTCCGGATAAATGAGAAGCAGTTGAGGTATTTGTTCAATATTGAGAGATCCTGAACAGTGTCGGTTTGTAATCGAGACAAGAATCACGTCATGCTCGGCTTTGTAGTTTTTCACTGATGCCATTGTTGCTTCATATCATTTTTTAATGGATGGTGTGGAAATAGTAGTTGATGCATTGCATTCCGAGCAAAAATACCGCTAATTTCTTTTCAACATCAGCAGAATCAAGAACTAACGGCGATTAATATTGGTACAGTCAAACCTCATAAGCCGAATCACTATAAACCGATTTTCGCTTTATAACGATGTAAAAGTGGTTAACCAAAAAACATAATTAATTATAATTGTAAAATAACCATAAGCCGAATTTTGATAAGGATTTGACTGTGCAACCAAAGTTTACTTAAATCTAATCCAGCTGATCCCACATAAATTGGTTTGTTAAGTAAAGCTTCTTCTTTTCCAAGATACACACCAAACAAGTCATCATTAAATACTAACAGTGTGGTTTAGCTGAATTCTTTATTACGGCACGTTCTGAGTACCAGTTATCTTTTAGTCGTATCAATATAATTTCATATATTTTCCATTGTCTTACCATATACAACGTTATTCATAATTTTAAAGGAGTCTTTTTCAAATCCGTTCTTAGAGAGTTTGGTTATACAGTACATCATATCACAAGACCACAGTTATTAAATATCATTCTAATGTTCTAGTTTCATATAACAAGTTACTATGCGAGTAATCCTGGATTTATACAGTGTCCATTATAGAAATCAATCGTCTAGAAGGGGAGGTTGATACAGAGAAAATTGATATGGTTATTATCATGAAGGAGGAGAAAGTTGAACCGACTAGGACAGGTAATTATTTGGATTGAATATCAATTTCACATTCGGTAAAACGTGACATCATTTCTCTTGACGAAGTTATTATAATTTTTCAAGGCAGGCATAAATCAATGTGCGCATACATTATTAGTTGAAATCATCATCAAAAAAATTTTTTTTTTACGGGGAGAAGGGAAAATTCAGATTACAACTTTATTTTCATTAATATGGATCGAAAACAAAAGTTGAAATTAAATATTTAATAATAATAACGAGCTATAAAACGGAGAAAAAAAAATCTAGAAATAAATACCACCTAAAAAAAATTTATTACCCCTATTTCCGCTACTACTAACCATAACTTCATTAATATATTTATTTTTCATAATAAATAATGTTTATTCTTAAATTTCTCTCAAATTGAATTCCTAATTAACCTAATGTCCAATTTCTAAATTCTTCCATGGAACACAGATTCATTAAGATTAGGGGCGCGGGTTCCTGATAATAATTCCTTAACTTGGGATGGTGGTTGCAGTCCATGTTTGTTTGCTCTATCCCATCTTTGTAACCTTGTAATTCCAACACAAGGTCCAAATTTGTAATTCAGATCGAATGCGATAAGGAATTTATTTTCTTCGCTAAGATTGTCATAATGAAGAACTTCCACATAATGATAAATAATAATATTAATTATTAATCCTATTAGCATTATTAGTCAATAGTATTTCTCAACTCACTTAATTTTGGTCTAACAGAATAAGATGATGATGATGATCTAGCAATAGAAGAGCTAGTAGTAGCAACATCAACTTTTGCAGCAATATTATTATCAATTTCTTGATATGACGACGATAATAATTCTTCATCTTGACCTAATTCTGATTCAAAAAATTTATCATTATTATTATATCGCTATTATTGTAAATATAACTATTATTAATAACATTTTCAGGATCATTATTGCCTTTTCTTAAGTTACACGTTCTTCTTGTTGTTTTGGCTTCTCTTTATCATTATTATTGTTATCAGTAGTAACAGTGGTGTCATTAGTTGTGGTAGCATCATTATGTCTTGATTTCTTTTTTGGTCGAGTGTTGTTGCCTTCATTTTTTTTTTTTGTGGGCCAATAAGTAATTAGACCTTTTTGTTTTGGATCATTTTTCTTTGGTGACATTTTTATTATTTTGATTGATAAATCAATAAATAATTTTTTATAATAAAGGTTGGAAAAGAAGATCTTGGATGTTGATTACCCCATAAAAAATAACAGATGATAATAATAATTTCCGTAAATCAGTCCGAAGTTGATTGATCTACCAATATTTTTTTTATTAAAAAATATATATAATGCGAATAAGAAAAGAGTTAGGTATTGTCAAGTCCAATTAGGTTTTTTTTTTTTTTTAATTTAGTATTATTTATTTACTAAATTGTATATAATTAATAATTATTAGAAAGATTTTGTGTAATTCCATTACTTAAAATTAATAAAATATCACTATTAAGAACAATATCAAATCGTAGTATAAGTAATAACAGTAGTGTAAACATTATCAGCAATGGAAGAACATCTAATAAAAAACCTAATATTATTATTATTAATTCAATTAATGGTGGAGTATGTATTTTCTCTTTTCTTCTCTTCCCATATACTCTTTATTCTTTATTATCTCTGGTAATATATCTTACTCATATATTTATTTATATATCATAATGATATAAATCAGAATATAATTTATCCACCATCACTAAAGCTTATTACAAATACTACTACAAGATCTTATTCTTCTGCTACAAATAAATCATCTTTTGATAAGCGTAATATTTCCAGGGTAAGCTTTCAACTTTACAAATACAATATATTATTTACTTATATACACTCACACTCACATGCATATTTATTTAATAGCAATTCACGTGGCAAAGTTTTGCAGTATTCATTGCGACTGGAATTGGTTTATTTTTTTATTTCAAATCTGAGAAAGAAAAAATGGTGCAAAAAAGTAAATATCATCATAAAAAGTAATAATAACAATTACTATTATTATTTCTTTTTTTTTTTTTTAATCAGTCAATTTTTTCAAAACAAATCAGAGAATGAAGCAAAAGAAAATAGAAACATTGGTAGTCCTAAAATAGGTGGACCATTTGAATTATTAAATCAAGATGGAAAAGTTGTTACTGATAAAGATTTTCTGGGAAAATATATTTTGGTTTATTTTGGTTTCACTCATTGTCCTGACGTTTGTCCTGAAGAGTTGGATAAAATGACTGAAGTTACTGATGCCATTAGTAAGTTTTTTAAAACTGAACAAAGGTCTTTGGGTCTGTGAATTGTGTTGAATTAATAAATAAGATATTAACTGGCTTCTTTTTTTTTTGTATAGGGAATGATCCAGAATTAAAAGGGATTGTCATAACACCTATTTTCATATCATGTGATCCACATCGTGATACAGTTGAAGTTGTTCGGGAATACCTTAAAGGTAAAATCAATCGGTCAATGTTAATTAATCAACTAGTTAACTAGTTGAACAATCAGTTAATCAACCAATCAATCAATCAATTCAATCTCACTAATTTATTTCAAATAATAGATTTTCATAAAGACATGGTAGGCTTAACAGGATCATTTGAGAAGATATCCAAGGTGGCAAAAGCATATCGTGTCTACTTTAGTAAACCACCAAATGTTAAAGAAGGTGAACAATACCTAGTTGATCATTCGATATTTTTTTATTTGATGAATCCTAATGGTGAATTTGTTGATGCTTATGGTAAGAGTACGAGTGCTAAAGAGGTTTACAACAGTGTCAAAAATCATATTAAAGATTTTACAAATTCAAGTACACCTATTCCAAATGCTAAGTAAATAAACATATTTATTTATTAACAATTATTAATAATAGAACGCTTTTTGTTCGATATAAATGTTTGGAAAATTTTGACAATTATTAGAAATCCTGCTTATTTTATATGATTTATGTGAATTATTCAAACTCGCTAACCTTCTATTTTTACAAACCGTTTTTATAAAAATGTAATTTGCAATCTGCAATATGCCTGCTGATTGTAAATTAGAATTTGCTGACTGCAAATTGCAAAAGGGCTTGTCAACGAACTTCTCTAAACCAAATTTTTGAGAAGGATAAAATCAAAATTGTAGCGAGCAATTTTTTTTTGTATTGAATTTTTTTAAAAAATTAACGACCTTGCATTTGCGAATATCCCATTTTTTATTTTATTCGAGTGATTGAGATGCATTCTCGTACATTATATTAGGAAAAAGTACTTGTGGTCAACTGTGCCGTTCATCAAAAATAAAATTAGAATTGTTAGAACTGCTGATAACAAATTTTTTGATAGATGGCCTTGGTTTGTCGGGACCACTAATGTGGAAAAAAATATTAATATTAAAGTCATTATACTCAAGTTGGATAGTGGATCACGACTCCCTAATTCAGATAGAGTTCCGAACAAGTTGGTGGAGTCAAGTTTTCTGTTTTCGAATTGGGTCGTAAATTAGATTTGACCTGACTCATCCGGACAATTATAATTGAACTGGTATTAACAAAAGTGGGTATAAATTGGCTTTTTTTTTTGCTGGTATGTAAAAACGGGTATGGTGTGAAATTTCAGGGTATTTTTTTGAACATTTACAATTTATAACTGGGATGATATAAATGGGGTAAAATCAGTTGTTGATCATATTATTTGTACCACATTTGGTATTGGAAACAAGGTTACAACTGAGAACGCAGTGTGAGCTTTTGCTTTTCGTGTTACAAAACACGCACACCGTGCTACGCGAGAATAAAAATTCAATCAAGTTGGGTTTTGCGTCATTTTCATCGCAAAGAGCAAAAAAAATGACATCACTCGGGCCAAGACACTAGTCTATTTTATTAAATTCGAAACATATGAATAGGACAGCCGTTCAAACTTTTTTTTTGTTATTTTTTCATAGAGAAATTCCTCTCAGGCCATTTCAGCGCACGAAACTCAACCTTCTACATTCGGCCACATGAAATAATTGTCGGT